CATGAATCTGGGCCAGCTGGTTTGTCAGCGACATGGCGCCGGATTCCAGGCACCCGCAAGACCAATGGCAGCTGGCAGTTTGATTTTCAATCCGGTGGCCTCCAGGTTGTTCCCCTGAACTTCTGGGTCTGAGAGTCTGAGACAACAAAAAAAAACTTGAAAAACTCATGTCATGAAGGCTTCCCCCGGCCAAATCCTCATGCCACACAAAGAAAAACTGCCTCGCTCCAAAACGGCAACCGGCCATCAAGTCCAAAATCCACACTGACCCCTCTCAGAAAGTTGCGCAGGCCTTCAGGCCTTAATTACCGACCCCCCCTCCCCCACCCCTTGATTGTGCAAGTTCACATGTTAGGTATGTAATTCTTGGCAGCCATCCGGTTCCTGAGCTTTTTTTTTTGACTTTTTAGTGGTCGGCTTCCCGTACGTAACCCACTAAAAGTAAAAAAACAGAACGTTTAGCGGAGGACCTGAACACGGACAGCCCAGTCAGGTCCCACCCCGCGTCAGGCTCGAGGTCGGTGCCACCCGCTTCCTTGGCCTCCGCTTCGCCGCGAAGTGCTGTGTCGCCGCAACTGGGCGGCGGTTGGGTCAATGGCGGACAAGACCGAGGCTTAGCAATATGTCCCCCTCTCTGGTGGTTTAGTTTGTTTAGTTCCCAGGGCAGCTATGTATTTTTAGTTCCGAAACCCAGCTCCAACCACATGTCCTAACCGTGTGCTCTTGGGAGGGCTCCCACTTCAAGATTGTTTTCGAAAAGAACGTGTTCCAAAAAGCACCAGGGCAGCGCAACGCTCCAACCGGACAACCATGTTGAATGTGGGCGTTTTTGTGGACGCCCCACTTCCAATGGGATTTGTTTGTGTCCTTTCTGATGGTGTTCCTCGCTAGATTTTTTTATTGCCGAACGAGCAGAAGAATGGGGCGCCGTGGCCCGGGCCGTGACTCCCCGAGGGCTTGCGCCTCTCCGCGGAGAGAAGGAGGCGAGAGAAAGCAGGCATGGGCAGCACAAGCGTGGCAAGCCGCTGGCAAAACCCGTTTCTTTTTCTGGCAAAAACTCCTTGTGTTTTTTGGGTTACGTTCCTTTGGCATGGCTGTCTTTTCTGTTGCCTTGGGCCGCATTTTCAGTGACAGAAACTTTGTGTGGCCTTGTGACGGACAACTCCGCTCCTTCGGAAGTGAGTTGCCGAGCGCAGGGAGCCAAGCCTTTGACCTTTAGTTGTCCATAGTTCGTTTTTGAAGGTTCCAACCGGCCATTCATTTCCTAATTGGATGTTCAACCAACTTAGAGAATAGGTTATAACCGCGCTTAGCTTGCATAGCTGGTGTTGGTCCCCTTATAGCCGTGGTTGTAACCTACTTACCAAGTGGTTGAACATTCATGAGCAAATGGGGGCAGCGGTTGTGTTGAAGCACGTGTTTTCAATAGCAAATAATGGTTGTCTTCCTTCAGGGAAAATGTGGCAATCAAGTAAAAACAAGCTGCTCACAAAGCGAATCAACTGCATCATCACCAGTGCAACCAAAGGGGTGCGTGGATCTCCCGCCGGTTTTGGCCATTCGCCGCGGCAAAGGGACCCTGGCGCCCCCCACATGCGCTTTCCCACACCCAAACCTGTGGTGGTTTTAAGGGTGTCAAATCTTTATTTCGACACATACCCTCAAGGCAGTCTCCGTCCTCATTTAAAAAAGAAACATGGAACCTGAAAGGGTTCTTGTTAGATTTCTGGGGATCCCTTTCAGGTTCTGACTCTTCTTTTCCTTGGTTTTTAACCAACTTAGTAAGTAGGTTAGAACCATGGTTAGAAGGGGACTAACCCCAGCTGCACCAGTCAGAACCATGCGGATCTCCAGGTTATTTTAGCAGGCTGTTTGCATGATATTAGGTTACTTTAGCTGGATCCCCTTCTTCGGAAGCAGCCCGCTTTCTGCCCGCGGGTCAACATCACAAGGCACGTGGCAAGATGTTTTAGGCGACATCTTGCAGCCAGAGTTCATTTGCCATAGCTCCCGTGCAAAGGTTTGGTGGTAGCCAACAAAAGGATTTCTGGGGTAGCCACGTCCGCAGCTACCTCAGGGATCTTTGGTTGGCCCGCAAAAGCACAAACATCCAGGGGTGTATAAAGTAATAAACTATCCATGAATATGCAACAGTTAATATTAAATAATTCTCAATGTTCCAAAAATTGCAATATACCAAAATAGGACACATATTGGATGAGTTTCCAATAAATGTGCAAAAATATGTCAACAAATAAGACAAGTAATAATGCTAATAAGTAAATATATATATATATATATAATAGTAATCATAGTATAGATCAATAGCATCAAGTTGTATAGTTGTTATGGAATAATACTGATACTACAATAGCTAGTAGTTTATTTTCCTATATATATATATATGGTTGAGGCGAAAGAAGTGCGCACACACACACACACTTTCTTTCTTGTTTGGTGTTTGTTGAAACGGTTGTTTTCCATGGCAGTAGAGGGTTGACATGATACCCTAAAAAACGGTTAGTCGAAGGGGGCGCATCTCTTTAAAGGACCGCCCCAAAAACGATGGTTTTGCTTTCAATCCGCCAACAGGGGGTACCAACTCAAAACGAGACACATTCTTATGGTGCGAACGTCCGAATAGATGAATCCGCGCCAGGCCTCCTTGGCCGGGCTCCTGCAACAGATGGCCTCCCTTGCCTGAGGTTTCGATTGTGCACCGTCCTGGTTAGCCAAGCCACCCAACGGGCCCACGTTTTGGTTTTGTTTTTTTTTGAATTCCCCCTCTGGCGTCAGTTTTCCTTGGGTACCCTTAAAGAAGGTTGCAAAATCATTTGTGCCTTCCCCCCAAACAAACCTTGAGGCCTTTCTGGCATCTAGGGCAGGGATCCCTAGCACATTGGGGTTGCATGCTCCTCAGTTGTTCAAAACCGGCCTTATTGCTTACCTTTTGGTTCGCTTGACCAAAACTTAATGAAAGTCCCCAAAGGTTAACCCTTTTCCAGGTGCTTTGGTCGGTTCTTGACCCACTGGGGCTGTTCACCACTTACAAGCTGTCACAACCGTCCAAGCAAGGGCTTGCTTAGCAGGCCGTTGTTGACTGATTAATGAACCCCACATCACTGTATGGCGCACGTGGACGAATTCGCGGATGGATGAGGTTCGCCATGGTTAATTGCAGGCTCGTGTCTTTATATATAACATGTTTTTTGAACATGATCCGTTGTCTTTGGTATAGAAGTGAGTCAAAAGAAACAATCCAGAAAACCTCAATGGGAGCCACCAAAGCAACACACAAGAAACATATGTAATTAATCCCACATCGCTGGCGGAGTTTCGACCACAGGCGCACCTAGATGTGTTGAATGCACGCTGTCCTTGCGAGCTTGGAGGGTCTTAGCCCGACCAACTGTGCAACAGCAACATGGCATGGAGTTGCCCCCTATTGTGATGTTCTTGCAATTGAAAGGGGCATGCCACTTGCGTAAGATATCTTGGACACTGACCCTGTGGTAGGCGAAGTCCTTCCAAGCTTTTTCAAGGATAGCGCTCATCAGATGTGATGAAAATTGGCGCGCTAGCCCTGAAAGGGCTGGTCAGATGTGCCACACGAAGCAGCGCTTGATTGACAGTTCGCGGTTTGCAACCAAAAGCAAAAACGAACTGGGCCTCAAGATATGACTCTGGATGCCTCCTTTGTTTCCTGTCGAGGGTAAGGGGGTGGGCCTTTGCTAATTGCAGGTCGCCATTAAAAGCAGAAGCTGAGAGTGTAGTCGATGTGCCACGTACTCTCGCAACTCAACCTGGGGCACCTCCTTTTACATGCCTGAGACTTAAAAACCCTGCTTCAGTCGCCACCACAAAAATAGTGGTTGGATTAATATGAACTAAATGGGTCATCATCTGAAGCACATCCTCTTTTCTTCGGGGGCGACCCCGGGGAAGCAGACTTATTTGCAGCTATATTAAGTTATATTCAAGAGCAGCTTTCCTGGGATCAGTGTCAAGTTGTCAGCTTAAGCTTCAATATGATTCAATCCAATAGACCAGAATCTTATTCCTCGAGTTCCTGGACTTTAATTTTGTTGGGAAGGCCGGACAACAACGTAGGTCACTTTTTTGTGGCCAGTCCACTCAGGGAGGAATCAAACATGTGTTTGTTGGTTGCTCGCAAAGGCTGAGCCCAAGCAAGGTACATTCGATTATTGCGCGGATCCAGGCTAATGCCTTGGTGGCTCCCAGCCATCTCCTCAGCTTTTTGCTGTTGAGTGTTTAGTGGTTGGGTTTCCATTTAACCCACTCAAGGTTAGTCGCTCTTAGCGGGGGATCAGAAAACGGACGGCCCGGACTCGTGTTGTTGTTCTTGGCGCCGTCGGCACGTCAGCCGCGCAAAGCCGTGTTCTTCCGCTTTCGAGGCCCGATGAACGCACTTGAGCCACACTCAAAATCCGGGTTAAAGATGAGGGGACAGTCCAAAAGACTCGCTGTGTCAGTGGATTTTACACTTTTTGGGACAACCATTTTAGTGGTAAATGAACGTATGTATTTTGTTGGCTAGCCGACTCCGGAAGTGAGCTTTTCAATGTGTGCGGCAAGAACACCTGTTGATTCCTTATGGGTTCTGATTGTGACCAAGTATTGGAAGCCCAGATAGAAATTCCGATCCTTCGTCGCCAACTAAACAACAGCGGTGATATGTGGTTCCCTCCCAGCGTGTTTGACTTGTTCAAAGTACTTTGCAGGGACGATGGATAACACATGTTGCCCACTCTTGGGTCTGTTTCGAAACATGGAATGCTTGTTGAAAATGGTTTCAAAGGGACAGCCAAAGAGAACCAATCATTTGCATTCTGAACGTTAGGATAAGTTCAAAGCCCTCTTAGGAAGTTTGGCCATTTGACATATTTATAACCAATTCCAAGGGAACCTATGTTGGGGCACACCTGTCAAAAGCAGCAACAGATGCCCTCCCTACCGTCCGGCTTGGCCATGGTTGTGTAATGAAGTTCATGCAGACGAGGTGCCAAGGGCCAGTTGGGCGGCAGTCCAGCTTGAGCAACGCGCGTTGTGATTGTGTTTCTTTGTCTGTTTGTTTGGTTGGCTGGCTGGCTGGTTGGTTTGTGTTCGTTTGCTTGCCTGTTTGCCCTGCCTACTTGCCTGCTCGCTCGCTCGCTTGCTTGTTTGTTTGTTTGTTTGCGTGTTTGTGTGTTTGCGTGTTTGTTTGCTTGCATGTTTCGTTTGCTTGCTTGTTTGCTTGCATGTTTCGTTTGCTTGCTTGTTTGCTTGCTTTTTGGTTTGAGGGATTTGGCTCTGTGATCTTTGTTTGGTTCTTGTTTGTTGGTTTGCGTGTGTGTGTGTGTGTGTTGTGTTCATTTGTTATTTTTGTTTTAGTTATTATCTATTGTCTTATTAGTTGTTTCTTTGTATATGGGTGTTTCTTGCTTGCTGTCTTCGTGAATTATATTTGTTCTTTGGTCATTATTGTTTTTCCTATGTGTTCCTTGTTATTCCTTTAATTGTTTTCTGTCTTTCTTGCTGTTATTGCTGTCTGTATTCATTTATTTGTTTACCCTATTTGTTATTGATTTAATAGTTGATTTCCTTGTTTTGTTTGCTCTTTCTTTGTTTTGTTATGCAATTTGTATATGTGTGTTCTTAATTGTTTCTTAGTTTGTTCTTTCTTACTTTCTTCCGCCCGATCTTTGTTTGTTTTTTTTTGTTTGTTTGTTTGTTTGCTTGATTACTTGCTTGTTTGTTTGTTGGTTGTGTGTAGTGGGTCCCCCCAGGGCTCCCCAACAGCCGGGACAATTGTCATGCAAAAGCACAATGAAAGCAGTTTCCGCATCAAGCGAAACCAGCAAGGGAAACGTTGGGACGCAAGCTGTTCGGGCTGACGGTGACAAATCGTCGATTCTCTAGGAGCCCCTTGGAGCCTAACTACAAAGACCGAGGTCTTGGGCCTCTAGGAATATCCTTTTTGCTACCGGCCAATTTCTGAAGAGTTCCAGAAGAGAATGGGGAGGGTACAGCAGGCTTGGTCCGTTCATTTGTTAAACTCTTGATGCCTCAAGGGCTTATCCTAGGCTTGTCTATGCAGGGATAGCCGCCCCCCTGCCAGAGCTATGGTGCTGATTGCAATAGATTTTACGTGTCCATATGCCGGGTGTGTTTGTCTCCTGTTTACCGTGGTTTCAATTGGGCAAGAGGAAGCCTTGTCTCCGGCACCGCCAAATCTGTGTTTTGCTTCTTTAGGGTAGACCAAATGGGGGGTGTCCTTTTTGAGGGAACCTTGTTGGGGTGGTTTAACATTTAAAAGGGAAACCAAAAGGAAACCATGTTTGGGGTTTTCATGTATGAAACAGCATCTGAACATCGCATGTTGGGTGTACAGATGGGCCAAGACCTACTTCCCGAGTCCCGTCTCGGACTTGAGTGATAAGAAGCCAATCTGCACCAGAAGGTCTTCGGATGGGTGCGCTTGCTTTCAAAATGGTGCCCCATGTTTGTTGGCAAAGGGCAACCACAAGGAAAACCAAAAGTGTTGCGCCATTTGGGGGCTCCATTAAAAAGCAATGGCGCAGCCGCCGTTTTGAGAACTTAGCCCGTGAATTCGACGAAGAGGCGCCAGTTGCTGCAGCTGAGTCGGCAGCTGCGTGGGTTTGAGCCCACACCGGGCCCGGAGCTGGCGCAGGTGCCGCAGCTCTTGCAGAGGCGGCCCCCCTCCCCCCCCCCAGCCCCTGACCACCCCACCCCGATCGGCTTTTGCGTCTGGCGTGTGCTGTTTTTCAGGAACAAGCAAGGAAACAGGATCCACTCCCGATTTTTCAGCCCCATGCTACAAGCACTCCGCGCTTTTCAAAGGCAATGCTGAATCCTTCCCTGGAGAGAGGTGGAATGGGAGAGTTGACTTTCTGGTTTTTGGTTTCAAATGAGCAGGGGCGAGGAATCCAGCTACCGGGAGGTTTGCATGCGCCAGCCAGTTGAAATGCTTTTATGAGGCCGACTAAATACAGTTGCCAGAATCTAAACGTGTTTGTTTGGTTGTGCAACAGTTGAGGTAGATTGGTGGATTTCAGGCTTGAAGGCCTTAGGGTGTATACCCCTGGTTTTCCCTGGTAGTGGTCTTGGAAGATATGGCCCATATTGCCTTGGTGGCTAACTTGAAGTGGACGTGGAGTTTTCGCTGTACGCAGGTTTCCCCCCCCCCCCAAGCCCCCCCCCCCGCCGCCGCAAAAGTCGACCATTTTGGGGTTGGTGTGCCTAGGAGCCCTTGGACCCTAAATATGAGGGCCGCAGGGACCCCCAAAGGCCTCAAATCATAAATCATGAGGGCTTCCCTAGTAGGGTGCGTTTGTCAGGGGAGTGCCAACAAAAATCAAGAAGTGCGAAAACGACTGGAGGAGGAAAGTGGAACACCGACAAGCAGAAAAGAAAAGCGCGAGAAACAATAGAACAACGACTCAGACAATAGAATGGAACGCAGGCTGGACGTCCAAAAAAACCCTTGGTACAGTTGGGGGTCCCAAAGAAAACCTCCAGAAGTTTGACAAAACGACAGGCTGGACGTGCGGGACCACGCGCTCTTCGAGGAGTTCTGCGTCTTCTCCAGGCGCAGTTGGCGCAGTTTGTCCCCGCCGCAGCTGGCGCAGCTCTTCCGCGACACGGAGAACTACCGGCTGCTGCACGCCAGCAAGGCGTGAAGAACTCCTCTGTGAGTCACTTGCTCAAAACCGATTCGGGGATTCATGATCCGGTTGGGGACAGGGACAATCCCCTTGCCATAAATGGCTGCGGATATCCGCCTTCTTAATTCTTCACATGGTTCTGGGGACCCTTTTTCGGGGTTTAGGGTTCAAAGGACCGGAATTTTTCGTTTTTGCTTGTGGTTTCGTGGTTGAAATCCAACCACTCAACTGCTAAAATATTATTCTTTGCTCCCCTTCCAACGTCAACCAAGAACTCCAGCTACGTGGCGAAGGGATGCATCTTGTGGCGACAAAGGGGACCCTTTTTGGGGGTTTAGGGTTCAAAGGACCGGAGGCCGGAGGGAAACTGCGTATTTTGGTGTTTTTTCTCAAAAAGAGACAGACCCCGGGGAGTCTCTCAAACCTTCCGTTGCACCTCAAGTGGGAAGTTGCGAGGCGAGGGACGCTGCGTGGGTTTGGTTGCCCACGCCTTTCTTTCGTCAGGATTTAACTCCCAGAAGGGACATCCAGGCAGGACCTCGTTGTTGGTGTTTCTCCCTTGAACCACTGGCAGCGCTCTGAATTGCACCAGGGCATACCATGGCCAAGCGCGAGAATTTGGTCGCGCTACTTTTTGATTCACTCCTTGATTTTTGATTGAGGGTGTCTCCGTTTAGAGGGGAACCTTCATTGTTGAAAAACGTTGTGTGGTCCTTGAGGCCTCAAAAGAAAGGGTCCAAGGGACTTCTAAAGTTTCCAGAAAAGGCTTCCTTCACCAAGAAAGCCCTTTGGCAATGGGCTAGATGAATGGACCCATGGAACCATAGATCAACGAGATGCCATAGACCCATTGATTGTCCACATTAACACCCGCAGAATGAACGAGCCATAGATGAACACCAGGGCTCGCTCCCCGAGTTGGAGTTTATGTTTGAAGACCATTCTGGAAGTTGGGTTGCTTTGCTGGCCAAAGATCCATACAGACTGGAGCCATAGACCCACAGATAGATGAACACCACCCACGCCACTTCGTTCTCCTTTCGGTGGCTCCTTTGGTCTCGAGGGCACAGCGCTGTGCCGGCTGGTGGCCTCTCTGGCGGAGGGCCTTGAAGATGTGCCGCCCAGGCGGGGGGAAGGGGCCCCTTTTTCGGCAAAGGCGAGGAGACGCGGGAAGTGGACCAAGGTTGTGCTAGTATTCATGTGTATTTTCTTTTTCGGGGCTACCCCTTTCTGGATGGCTTTAACAGGCAAAGCTGTCCAAGTGTGTTTTTTTGGGGGGGGAGGTGTTGATTCCTCCTGTGTGAGACAAACACATATGTCGAAGACTATGTCCATTTCCTTTGGTGAGCAAACATCACCCTTTCGGCAAATGTTCATCTTACTCCCTGAGTTCCTTGACATTTATTCCTTTTTGCGACCATGTTAGTCGGAGTTAAAGCAAGGGTTGCTTTTGTTTGGCCAAACCACTCCATCGGAAGTGAGTGATGGAGTGTGCCTTTGGGGTGATGTTTTCAGCGGACCTCTGAGGAGTCCCGCTTGCAAGTTAGTGAGTTGATGATCCTTTGGTCCCCCCATGAATCCTTCTCCCCCTAAACCCCGGCAACCCCCAATCCCATGCCCAGGTCGCTGGCGGCCTTGTGCCACGGCGCCCTCGCTGCGAAGCGCCGCCCGCTGCTCCCGGAGCTCGTGGGCCGCGTCGAAGCCGCCGCGGCGGACGTGGCGGGCGCGGATGCTGTGGAGCTGTTGGGGGCAGCGGGGGAGTCGGGGAGCCCAAGAAAACCCAACCTCGTGGGTTGCGTCGTTGTTTTTTTTTTTGGTTCTCCGATGTTGTTTGCTCCTTGTTTTAGTTTTCCGGGGGAGGGGGGGGGCAACGGGGCATGGCCGTGTTTGTTTCGTTGGACCCCTCCACAATGGCATCGGTTCTTCTGATTGATGTTTCACTTTAAAACCAACTCAAAAGAACCCCCCCCCCCATATGGGCCTTTGGAAGGCGGATGTGTCCAAGGTCGTGCACACAGTTCACCTGTTGATGGAGTTGGACCCTGTCAAGCTTAGCGAATCAAGCGGGGTTAAAAACCAAATGTAGTGATTCCCTTGAGAAAACCACCAAATTGCCTGCTGACCAGCAAGTTTACGAGCAACTGTCAATATTTGGGTTTGTCTCGAAAGGTGAACTTCCCGAAATGGGCGTGTATGTTTCACAACCAACCAACCAACCAACCAACCAACCAACCAACCAACCAACCAACCAACCAACCAACCAACCAACCAACCAACCAACCAACAATCAAACAAACAAACAAACAAACAAACAAACAAACAACATGGTGGTTTTCCTTTTGGTCTTCCTTAAAAACCGAGCAACAATTAAGAACCCTCAAAAAAGGACACTCTTAAATGGGTATAGTTTCCTTTGTTGTTTCTCCTTTAAAAGCCCAACACGGGTTCTTTCAAAAAGGTCCCGGGGACCCAGTGTCAACCGAATCGCATGGCTCGAGGCTTCACCGGGCCACGGGCGTGAGCACTGCGCAGCTCGGACGGACTTGGAGACGGGTGGTAACGTGCCCTTTTTAACAGAAGAGGCGCCCCTGGCGATGTGATTTTTAGGTGCCAGTCTTGCGAAACCACTGCAACAATTTTCTGCATGTGCACGCGCTGGTGCCGAAGCGACATGCATTTTTTAAAGGGGGTGTCCCGTGTTTGTTGGATCCATGTCTCATTTTTGGAAGACTAAATGTCAATTTCGATGAACATTCTGGAGGGCCATACCAATCAAGGTGGTGGTTCCCCTTCGAGTAGTACGGAAATGATCATGCTTGGGTATTCCCTTGAGTAGTGGGGTCTTCCTGATTAATCCGAAATCAACATTACTCACTTCGCTGGTTCCTGAGCTTTTTTTTCGGGAACCCCGCACGTTCTTTGGAGGATCCAACATGTCCTCTAAAAGTCACTCACAAACGGTAGATCTTAGACCTTGGATCCAGAGTCTAAATGCCTGTATCCCAAAAGGTATTCAGAATTGTGGTGCCCCCCCCTTCTATTTGTCTTATTGTTTCATTGGACTTGCTTTGTGTCCACAGAGTAGAATGGTCTCATGAACTCTAGTCTTAAACTGATTCTACGGCATTTCTGGAGAATTGTCCAGAGAACAGGTACCCTTCCGAAATGTTTTGCTTTCTTCCCCCCAAAATGCACTGTGGACATAGCCTTTCTGCATGGACAGGCAAGGCAAGGAGTCGCTGACTTGGTGGAAGGTCCCGAGCTTCACGGCATGTCAGGACCAGAAGGGGTTTCTTTTGCTTCAGTGCTTCTATGTGTTATTTTGCTTATCTTGGCCCCCGCAAGTTGGTGGAGGGATTGAACCCCGGTTTATTTTGAAACCATGTGGCCGCACCATTTAAACCAAACCAAGCTACTACTTGCTTCGCCTGACATCCCTAAGGGGAGCCTGCGTTTTAATTCGTGCAGCATGAGTATCAAGAGTGACTGGGGCGTGTGAGGCTTCCCTGTCCAACGAGGAGTTGCGGCTTGGGGAAACCGTTTGTGGAGCTTAGTTCACCTTCAACCCGCATGTGTACGTGGTTGAGGCTCCATACCTCCAAACTAAAATACCTGAAAGTGCACTTGAATCAAAGGTCCCACGATTTCTCTCAGGACTTTGGTCTCATTGTCACAGCTCAGTCCGGATCTCAGATCGCAATCCCCGATGAAAGGCCACGCGTGTACATGTTTTTCGAAGTAAGTCGGTCCCCCAAAATTGCAGGTGTCCCTTTGGTTTTCTTTTTTTAAGTACTCACCAACACTGGGTCCACCATTTTCAGAAACTTACATCATATTTTTCGTGAATTTGGGGGATTTGTAGTCGACGAGTTCCCTTTGACCATACCCACCGCAAATGTGGAGTAGCAAGGGACTCTCTGGGTTCGGCTGGAAGACGACTCTTTGAGGACAAAGCCGGAGTGTGGTTTTGCAGTATGCCCTTGATTGGTGCTTTGGATTTGGATTTGAACCCCTGGTTCTTGTAGAGGGTACTTAGAAGGGACACCACCCTCAGAACACCTCCAAACCACTACTCCACACCACCAACTACTGTGAAGCTGAGTACATTGAGAAGGAGAGCATGCAATTTTTGCACAAGGGGTACAGCATGCAATTGGGCCACCGGGAGTACCAAGAACTTTGGGAAGCTGTAGTTGGGTTCATTTTCCGTGCATGTGTTCATCCCGGGTTCTTACTCTTCTCGAGGATACTTGTTTAGGGTTCTGTCTCAGGTAGGCAGAAGGAGCGATACATGAGACGTGCGCAGTAAAAAACAAATAAAGCACTGGACAACATCAAACAAGTATGGCACAATGCACAGGAAAGAACCAAGCAGTACCAAAATGTGCAACACCATCAATTGCACAGCATCCGTGTCTTTACCTGCTTATGTGATTGCATTTGCCACCCCTTGGGATCCTGGACAGTTTCTAGGTCCCCCAGTAGTGCCCTTTTACCTTTTTTTTGGGATGGTTCCCCTACTAAAATAGACTACAGAAAAAAAATCGGGCACCCTTATTCTAAGCTCTCTTCTGAAGGACCTAGCCATGTCCAATGTAGGAAACTCATCTTCCATTTGAGCTGGCTCAAACCGGGGTAGATGAAGGTCAGGGACAGTCCCAGCTGCTAGAAACAGGTTTGTTGGGGTTCCTTTCTGTTTTTGGGAGTATCCTGGCTCCTCCACTTTGGGCGTTGGACCATCCACGCCAGGCCGCCAGGCCTTGGGAACGGAGGCCCGGGCATGCGGCGCTCAGGGCACCGAAGGACGTTCCGTTTCAGACTTGAGCCATGTGGGGTTGCCTCAAATGGGGCACCCCCGAAAAAGACATGTTGTTTGTTGGTTTAAATGTTCCTTTGAACACATGTTTAGCCCATGATGTTAATTTGTTCCCCTCCTATCTGGCCAGTGGATCCTGGCCAGCCACTATAGCAGGTCTCATGTTTGCTTGACCTCTCATTGTTAGCCACAGGGGTGACCATGAATAGCAGTGCAACTTCACCCGCAGCGCCTGGAGGGAGCTGTAAACTCGAGTCCGGGTCCGAGAGTTGGTGTCAGTTTCTCAGGTGACCTTGAGGTGCTGATGGGTTTGGATTTGAACCGCGTCTGGAGGGGGTGGGCAAACCACCCAAAAAAACACTCCAAAACCCTGGTGGTTTGGATGAAACCCTGGTGGTTTCGAGGGATGGGAAAACCACTCAATCACCTCCAAAGCCGGGCTGCAAACCACGGAAGCTGAGCTTTTTCAAACCTGGAACCCGCAGGCAACGGGTTCATCTCAAAATGTGTTGGCTGGTTACCGTTGAGTTCCCCCCATGTTTGGCTGGCTTCCTGAGGCGTCCCCTCATTTTTGTGTGGTTTCCGTTGTGTTTTCCTTTCCAACCAACCAGTCCCCCCGCAACCCTGTGAATTGTTTCAGCCTGAGGAGTCCAATGTTCTGGTCGTGTCGAGCATTTGAATGCGCTGCGCTGGTTTTTGGCTCAAAGCTTCTCCCGTGGGAGAGACCCGAAATCGTTCAAGTCACTGAAACCAGGGTAGACGGGCAGAGTGGTTCTTGCTTTCGCCAAGTCACCGAAGCAGGAGCTGCCGATGTTCTTGTCGTTTCCTTTTTTAATTTCTTTTCGAAGCCCCAGCAGTAGCTAGACGGCATCTAGAGCCGCCCCTGCCTTTCGCTCCGGCCGAGCACCCAGAGTCGCCCCAGAGTCGAGAAGCGACAGGATGTGCAACTTAAAGCCAGAGGCAATGTCGCCGTTGATCAAATTGAGGAATCTTACATGGGCTTCATGTGGATCCACTCATGCCCAAATGCAGGGCTACCCAACTGCCCATGTACTCTATGTTGCGGATTTCTTGGATAGACATCCAGCAGGTGTGGATTGTTTTGGCAGATAGTTTTGGTCGCCAGACTGAGCACCATGGACACGAGAGCTAGAATGCAACGTGCGCGGTGCTTAGTAACCAGCAAGTAATGTTCATGTACCATGAATGAGCACCATGAGAGAATGGGTTTCACCCAGGATGTAATCGAAGCAAGGCTGCCTCAGTTTGTCGATCTCACATTAGGGGAGTGGGGAGGCCACAGAGAGAAAGCACGCACGTTGTGTTGTTGTTTACACCAGGTCTATGCATGCTAAGCATAGCCGCTCGCTGCACCCCCTTTCTACCCGGGCCTCGGAACCGCACAAAACATTTGGCACCATGTTCGTTTTCTGGGATCCTTCGAACTCCAAAGTGGTTTCATACCTGCTCAGGCTGCCGGCGACTTTCAAACCAAAGTCACCATGTGTTTTTTTTTTTTTTGAGGGTACCATAGGACCATACAGTACCACTGTTTTTTTGCTTGTGGTTTTAAAGGAAAACCAGAAGCACAACCGAAGCCATTTTGGGGGGGCTAAGCTTAAAAAAGACACCCATGTGGACCCGGAAATGGTTGCCCAGCAGAAAAAGGCTCTATCAGCTTCATGCAAAAAGAGACAAGGGGTGGGAACCAATGAATTCCAGGTCCTCCACTCAAGTTGGTTTCCCTAAGGCTTTGGGCCAACCTTGGAATGTGGATTTGGGGAATGTGTACTTGACAAAATTTCCCTCGAACTTCCATCGAAAAGCGTCCATTGGCACGCCAAAAGCTCTTGCAGCTCCAAGGCTCGTTTCCGATGTCGAAAACCGATCAGAGGCACGCGCCAGTTGGGGGGTGTAGTGGGCATGGGCTCAGGCAATGCCTACCTCAGGTCCTATGCAGAACCCGGGACGCGGGACCCGGTCCCCGTGCCACCTCTGGAGTTATGTTAGGAGTGTCAAAAGGACATATGTTGAGAACCCAAATTGCAACAAGACCCTGAGGGCTACGGATGTCGATGGAATTGTCAGCTTCTTTTCTGGCTCGCTCCTTGCTGGACTGTAATCATTCCTTTTTGATACGAAAGGAGTAGGCCCTCGAGGGGTTTCCAGGGATTATGGAAGGGATTGGCCGACCCAGTTTGAGCGGCCCAGCTTGTGTCTCCGTATGTGAGTGGCCTCCTCCTCTTAACGAGTTGACAAACAGAAACCGGTCCACGCGCAAGGGGGTGGATCGGGGACTTTGGGAAATGCACCCGCTCCTCATGGTTTGTGCGGCCAGTCTTCAACCCATGTAACCAGTGGAAGCCGTTTCGTCGGCAGGTGCCTGGCTATTTATCAGCGCATTCTCAATACTTGCCTATTTCCGGTGAGTATGCTTGTACAAATGTCCCAAATCCACATACGAATGTTTTTTTGTTTTTAGGGGACCCTGCAACAGAATAGTGTTCTTTTGGTTTCCCTTTAGGACCAGAAGAACAAAACGGGTAGCCCCAAGAACAGACACACTGGGCCCTCTGCCAATTTTTGGGGTCCAAAATGGGAGGCCAGGTAATTTCAGAGAGCCCAACTTGGGACCTACACACACACAACAAGTTGACCCAGCCCAGGTCGACGCCAAAACACGAGATGTGGTCAAAACACGGCGCTTTGATTTCGGGGTCACAAAGGTATTAAAGTGTCTAAACAATGGTGCTCAAGTTGTGCGTTCTGCTTCAGACTTGAGTC